ACAAGAGAGGTCTGCTGCACCATCTGGTTCAGCTGTCTTGACTGAGGATCGAACTCATGCTACTCGTGTTGCAGTTCAATAGTTCAGTTAGTGCCGAGACTTAGCCCCTTACAGCACCAGGGACACCCCTCTGTGATGTTTCTAAGAAGTACTAATGCCAAGGAATTCCACACAGGTATCTAACTCTTCAAACACTAAAGGCAAAATCTAACCAAGTGTGCTGACTCTGGAGACAGTGCTTACAGGGTGCACAGCAAGAGCCCCAGGTGCTGAACGAATGCAAATTGCTAACATAAGCTGTTATGAATAAAGCAAATAAGTCCTCAATAAGTACACCCTCCCTCTTAAAAAATTTCAGTAAGCAACCTACATTCCACATATTATTCATTCCAACTTCTTTGTGAGTTTAAGGAACATTAATCAATGATGCTCAGTGGAACATGATCTCTCAGAAGTACTTCCACTTAATATTTTACACAATATATATTTAAGAGCTTCATAATGGAACTGTGCAGTGATAAACTGAAAGTTATAGTAGCAGGAAAAATAGCACAACGAAAGTCTGACAGGTTTTTCAAAAGGCTGATGATTCTTGGAGGTCGAGTATGGCCAAAGAATTCCAGGCTGAACGGGATAGGTACAAGAAGAGAAATGAAAAATGTAGGGGGTCCAAGGCAAGGGGAACCCTTGGTTCTGATGAGAATTAAACTGAGCTAATGGCATTCTCCAAAAAAGTGGTGTCTGAGCAAAACCAGGATGGATGCCATCCAGGAGAGCCCAAAGGACACGTCGAGGTGTACACCCATACGGAGGGAGGAGCGGGCAAAGGTGCCAAGGTGTGGAAAGCTGCATGTAACAGAGAGATCACTGAGGCCAGGGTCGCAAAACAGTGCAAGATGAAATTTGCGAATGTGTAGAGGGGAAAATGGGCAAAGGCCCCTTTGAGGATGGTCAAAGGATACGCTGAGGATGTGAATTTTATAGCTTGAAACCAGTGTTTCCTAAAGTTGGCCAATCAACAGACCAACAGAGGAGGAGGAAGAGGGATCAAAACAGGGGAGGGACGAGCACAAGGGACTATGGTGATGGTGCAGGGGTGTCCTCGTGGTGGGAATTTTATGGGGATTGTGCTTGAGAGGAGAAATCAAACACTGTACAAAATGAACACAGTTGTAAAAAATATATAAATGAAATTCTTTAAAAGTCAATCCATACTCAAATAAATGAAAAAGACTCTCACCAGATATCTATTAAAAAGGCCCCATAATCTGTAATCTGTATTTATAACCAAAGGAAAGCAAAGCAGAGGTGATAATTAAATAAAGGAATCCTCCTGCCTTGGTAAGAATATAGGACAACAACATTGCAACTATGTTTTAGAAAGAAAGGTGTGAAGAAGAGGGAATCCTGTGTGTCAGGTTAGCTTGCCACTGTCCAGGACAGTTCTCTCACATTTACTATAAAGATGCATGCCCTGGGCTGTTAAAATGCAGGTTATGCTTCAACAGGCCTGGGCTTGGGTCTGAGAATTGCATTTCTAACAAATTCACAACAGGCCATGCCCATTCTAGGCTTACACTTTGAGTAGAGAGGATGTAAATGATTAAAAGGATCTACGTGGGAAGAGCAGAGCAAAGTGGCAGAGAGAGAGAGAATATCAGCTCAAAGTGAATATAAATGACAACTTTGTCCTGCTGTATAAAATACCACGTGTTCATATTTACCTGTGTTTGTGTGGTGATCAAATGAATCAGTTAAGAGAATAAAGTAACAATGGATATATCATATCCGGCATTAGATAAAGTACAGCAAAGCACATTATGAAACAAGTTAGGCCCAAACCTGAATATAAATTAGGTAATATGGTAAATGTAACATTATAACTCAACATTTCAAATTAGGTAATATGGTAAATGTAACATGATAACTCCACATTTCAAAGAAATCTATAAAAGTCTTTACTGAAATTGCTAACTACATTATATTTTAGTGCCTTTTATCATCTGGGATACAAAGGAGACAAGTTTACATTGATTTTCCCATAGTTTCATTTCATTCATTCATTTTTTTAAAATTTATAGACTATTTTCTTTCCAATAAAAAGTGTTAATGGATTTAAGATGAATTATAGTGAAAGGCAAACAAGAGACATGGGTAATTAAAGGAAAACATCAATGTTACAGAAAGCAAATATTGAACCACAACACTAATATAATTATGGTGATGGGATGCCAATGTGGACTTCAGTCTCCTGTTATTTCTTTTCAGATGAATAAGTTCAAAATATAAAGAGGTACCTCCCAAAAAGCATATCCCAAAGGTTGTTTCTTATTTGAGACTTAACATTAGTCAACAAATGTAATGAATAACACAAATATCATTTTCATTATTTTTCAGCCAAGGCAGAAATTATACACTCTGTAAGAATTCTCGTAACTCTGCTCACTTTAAATGCCAAGGCTGTGACACCAAAGAATAACCCTGTCATTCTGATAGGGCTGATTGATGAATCCAGAGATAGCTACCTGTGGATAAATCTCAGGTGACACTAAAGGAGGTCAAATGGATGTAATGCTGTTAGGGTTCCTCTTTCACCATAATCCCTTCTCCCAACCTGGTGTGTGGTACAATCTAGAGAGCCGATTGCTTGGCCCAGGCATAGGGTATTATACTACGTAGTTGGTCTGGGAAGGCCTTGGGAAACACAGCTGGCAGGACTGCCAATCTGAGAAGAAAGTCAAACATCCCAGACTTGTGAACTTGCCTGCCTGGAAGTCAAGGACATGGATGGCTCTGGCCAGCTCTGGCCAGAGCATAACAAAACAAATCTCAGAAATGCTCCTTAGAGTACAATCTCATGTCATAACTAAGGACAATGGGTGCAAAACATACTCCCGGGAATAGAAACCAGCTACCACTGTGCAGATGTGCCTGCTAAAGAGCTCAGAATAGGTTGCATCATCCTGCAGGAATGGAAAGTCATGTGTTACTTCTGTAACAACCTTACCAGTTGGCTATGTAGGATAAATGGAAGTGATCAGGACTTTTCTGCTCTCCCACAATTAGCACTATGATTGATGCCTGTGGTTTTTACACTTATGCCTGATGGGATCACCTGGGATGTGGTGTGAGTGCATGGAAGTGGATGTACCTGAGCCAGAGACTGAGCATATAAGAGCAGAGAGCAGAGACTGAGCATATAAGAGCAGAGAGCACCAAAGCGTGGCAGCAGAGTACGTGTGGCAGAATGCATTAGAGACCAGTGATGAGACCGCGAGAGAACACCAGAGAGCCCAGAAAGAGTAAAGATTCACTGGGGGCTAGAAGGCCTGCCAGCCTCCTGGCTCCAAGCCCCCAAGCCCCCTGCCTGACTTGAACTGCTTGCCTCACTCCAAATGGTATAGAAAGATCATTTTAAAAGCCACTGAGGGTTTCAGGACCCCTTCTTTACCCATCTGCCGGGATCACAGAAAACCTGCTCTGTGCCTTGCTGGCCCTACAGCTACAAACAATCTGTGCAGGAGTGGAAATGAGATTGCTGAGGGTACTGCTGAACCGGGGCACTGCTCAGCTCTGCCATGCCATTCATAATGCATCATAGTGAATGGTTCCTTCCCAGCCCTTACAAGATACTGCAGCCTGCAAATACTTGATTGTTTAGTAGCTACAGCTGAAATGTGAAAGCGGAATGATGTATGCATTGACAATAGTTTCTTATTTTTTTAAAGGTTTATTTTTATTTATTTATGCATACAAGAACTGGGGTATAGGCCAGAGGTGCAGAGGGTGGTGGAGGGGGTAAAAGGATTCACCAGAGGAGTGGGAAGCAGAACAGGCAGATCGACTGAAATACACTGCTGAGGGGAGC